CAAAATAATTTTCCTGGTTTTGATGTCAATTATATCTTTTATATGAAAGGTCCTACTTCTGTGCAAAGATCAGGGTCTCGTGGTATTAGGTGAATTAGGCAGCTTGCTCCTCACTCCTGGCTGTGCACAAGTCTCTGGAAATTTCGGTGGGTGAGAGGTAGAAGGCCTAACATTGTCTTTCTTATGCAGATCACTTGATATTTGAATGTCTTAGTTCTTATCCTCTGTAAAATGAAGGAAATGAACGTGATGATATTTAAGATTTCTTCAAAAAACAGTAATACTATTTCTTGCAAATAAATACATTTCTGAGCTTTCAGTGTTCTTTGTATCCTAAGTATTCCAAAGTGTGTGTGGGGGTAGTTTTTCCATATATTTTATATAGCTTCATGGAAAGTTATGAATTAAAATAACTTTCAGAATTTTAACAATTCTGTTTCATTAAGAACCTTTTTATTTAGCTTGCAGAGAGTTTATAATTGTGGTTGTGGTGGTAGCGACTACCATTTGATTGTAATTTAATTGGAGAATGAGTTCATAAAGGGTCTTGCTATTTTAGTCAGTGCCTTATACTTGACTTCATATTATAATGACAACTTCAACCAGTGAAATACCATGTTTTATAGTTAGATCCATTTATATGTAATAGTTTGACTGTTATTTTTGAGCAATGATTGGTCATTGATTATGTAGCTATGTGCTGATCTATTGACTAAATTCTAAAAAAAACCCTCCAAGATATAATATCATTTTTGAATAGTGCAAAGTAATGTGATAAACTGTATACTATAGAAAAAAATTAAAGGAAGAAAACATTGTTTTCATTTTATAGCAACTATTTGTGTACTGTTTGGTGTTTAACTATAAGGACGTCTGGTACCAATATTTAAAGCCACATTTTCAATTGAACTTTTACCTTTATAAACTGCCAAAAGATTGGACAATTTTTGAACTAGTTGGACATTATTTTTTTTAATCTCAGTCACATTTTTGCCTCTAAATGTAATGATTTTGTTTGCCAAGATTTCAATGTCTAAGGATCTGTTGTCTCAGCCAAGATAGTTACTATTCTACAGATCCTTAAATGGTCACAAGAATGGTGGCAGTGGACAATACCTGTAATTCAACCAGTCCCAGTTGATGTATTTGTTATGATTAAGTCAATTGTGAAGCTACCAACTGTCCTTGATATTGTAGCCAGTGAAGCCATGCATGTCTCAGCACATAGGTCAACATCTGATAGGAATGCATAAAATATGCAAGTGTCTTATCTTAACAGCATAATGTTTCTTTCATCTTTGAAGGTCAATTTTCACAATCATTCAGAATTAATACCTTGAAAATAGCCTCTGGACTTAAATTATAGGGACTAGTGGCAGCTTTGTTTTTCTTTAAAATATCACTCAGAAAGAGGAGTTTCTGAGTTAAATCTGTGATTTTTCTCCTTTACAAAATGAATATACAAATGTAACTATTTTCACTACTTCAAGTCTAAAGAAATGTCAAAACACAAGTTAAACACTAAAAGGCCAATGCTAGCACTAAAAGCTAGTTAGGTATGCAGTAATTCTTGCTTTGTGTTTTTTAAAAATGGAATGTATTTTATATGTCCTTTTTAAGTTTAGGAATAATATAAAGGACTATTTTAACATTTTAAAATCTTAAGGCAAGCACTAATAACCATTATCTGTATTCTTTAAAATGATCTAATTTGTAGAGAAGGAGATCTTTTGAAAGTACTGTATAATTCCTCAATTATTGTTTCAAGAAATTTTTTCTAAACTTCGAATGTTTGATTCATGTGTTTTATATGATAACATTTCAAAACAAATCACACCACATCTTAAGCTAAAGAGGATGTAGTAATTGTTAGCATCAAACCAAAGAATAGGTTTGGATCTGTAATCACCAGGAGAAATGGTAACTACCGAGGTCAAGAGGTGAGGCAGTTCAAAGAATTACCCATGGTGTATGGGACAAAGATGTCAACAGTGTGTTTTCTCGGGGATAAGTGTAAAAGTTTCCTTTTGTAAATATTTGTATTGCCATATTTCACCAATTTCCTGCAAGGAATGGTGACCTTTCCAAATTTTTTCTGAATTCTTAGTGACTAATGCATGCCAATCATTGGATGGATTCTAGAATATTGAATAAATAGGTGTTGGCATCCATGATGAAACCATCTTACATCCTGATTCCAAAAAGAATGATAAACACATTTATGAAAATATATTTACTTATCTGTGACATAATATATTTTTAATATTATTATTTTTATTCTACACACATACACATGACAGAAACAGGTTTGTTGCACAGTAGTCTCTCATGTGCAACAAGCTGGGTGATTTTGTAACATTGAGTAGTTACCTAGTAACTCAGCTGTCAAATGGAAAGATAAGAGTTCTTACCTCCAAAGAGGTAATTTTCTTGTGAGGATTTTATATATTTATATATGTGTTTTTGTGTGTGTGTTTCATGTGATTGTATGTACACTTATAACCTAAAACAATGTACGGTGGTTTGATTTGGTGATTTTGTTGTTAACTATTAAAATGTAAAAGAGTGTTCAATTCATATACTCCCATTTACAATGAGAAATATTTTGTTATGCACAATTTTCATCTAGTCTATAGTACTATTTCATGCTGTGCTTTTGCTATCATATTTAAATAATGCTAATCTGGATTCTCCTTAGTTTCTTTTTTGGTACAGGCACCAAACTCTGGACCTTTGCTTGAGAGGCAGGCATGGGGCCACTGAGCTAAATCCCCAGCCTCTCTCCTTAGTTTCAATATAGTTTTCTTCCATGTGGATACATAGTCACTTGCATATACACTTACACAATCCACTCACACACATAAACATATTAACATGCACATTCTCTCACCAGTACATGTACACAATCATATACAAATAGAAGAAGTCATAAACATGCAGGTGAAGGACAATTTAGAATTTTTAAAACATTGTACTAAACTTAAATTCAGAGTTTAAGAGGCAGTCTAATTAGTTATGTGAGTCTTCATTTTCTTTTGACCAGTATTTTAAGGACTATATATAAATATATGAAAAAAAGGTGATGTGTATAATAAAAATATTTACCAATTTCTGAAGAATATTAACAATTATATTCTTGAATAACCATCAGATCACATTTCAGAACCATTTATTCTTAAATTAGCAAGTTTCAGCATTTTAAATGCATGTATATGAATGTATGTACATATTTCAAAACTCTTCCTACATGAAAGCTTAAAACATGCTAAATACATACCAGAGATGATTAAAAGTTGTATTGAATCATAGTTGTGGAGCCTAGAATTTTGCTTTATTGAATCTTTTTTCTAAAAGTCCCTCTCTGTCTCTAAGGAAGGCTTAAGACTGACTTGATAGCTTGAAAACCAAAATTGACTTTGATATTCAACTTTTCTTTTATGCAAGGACTATTCTAACCACTTTACCGGTATCATCCAAGTTTAGTCTTCATAAAATGTTCTCAGACATATGTTGTTACCCTTATTTTTAAGATGAAGTTTTGAAGCTAAAAGAAATGTGTTTGAGTTCATCTACCTAATAAGTGAACAGACAAGAATTTGAACTCTGGGCTCTCCATTTCTAAACCCATAATATGTGCAAGCCTCCAAGAAAGTTAGGAATGCTCTTCCAGGACATGGAAGTTACAGTGGAACTTTTCTCAAAGGAAGTGATACAGAGAAAGATGGTTACTAGCTGAAAGGAGAAGTGGCAGATTCTAACTGAGAGACTGCCTGTCTTCGTATTTTCTTCACTAATGAAAGCTATTTGCTATGATCAAAACTCTTCTACTAAAAGGTGAAACTAGCGGTATAACAATTACTTGTTACTTTGCTTTGTATGTTGTTTTTTTACTTTACTCTTTTTATCAATTGGTTAACCATTTGTCTAACTTTCCTATATTTTCCCCTTATGCTACTCAGAGATTCATGACAATCCTACTTTTGTCTTCTTTTGCCCCACCTATGCTCCTCCTTAAAAAAAAGGAAAAGCAGGATTCTTGGGCTTTCTCCTCTCTCCTGATATTCATCCTATTCACTTTTGGATCTGATACAGTTTTTACAGCATAACTGTAAAAGATGGCATTTCATCCCATGAGAAAAATGTCCTGGCTATAGCCTTGCTAACTGGATTCATGGCTTTTTCTCCATGACTTAATTTTGTGATCCACATGGGGAAGCTTTCAGCTTTATTAGCATCTGTCTTCCTTTTTCTTATCGTGTCTCCAGCTTTCCGTACCTCGCTCAAAAAAGAAACACATGGTTTGAACTTATTGTTTAGATTTCACAAATCCCTTCTTCTAAACAATTTTTCTTAGGCAGGGAAACAAACAAATAACTCTGTCTAGGAACTTTCAAACAAAGCCCTTAATATTTGTAACATATATAAACATAACATTAGAAAGAAATGATTGGTTAGTTTTAGTCACAAATTAAGATATGTTGATTGGATTGGAGATGGAGAGAAGATGTATTTATCTACCTCCAAAAGTTGATGGTTTATTTTGAAGGGGAAAATTTGAGGTTTACTTAAACCATTATGTGAATGTCTTTATTTTCCCCTGACATTACTTGCCAGTATGTGAACATTTCAGGTAGAAATTTTACACCACTTCATCTGAGTGAGGAAGGATTTAATGGTTGAATGACACATGGTCCTCAGTCGTGGTAGTTTTTCACTGGGGATTAAAATGACAGTGGATCAGTGGACCTTTTCTAGTATAAACTCCATAGAGAGCATTCATAATTAATTACTATAATCAAGTCAAATGATTTTCATTTGCCTTTATCATTTGCTTATAAATATTTCACAACTTTCCCAAGGGATGTTTTTTGTTGTTTGAATGTTAAGGTTCTGATTCATTTTGGTAGGTCTAGTTTTGGGGATTCATGGTATGCATTTTACTTGATATCTTTCAGACAAAAGAGTTCTCATGCATTGTTTGTGGTTTTTGTTCTTTATAGGTAGAAATAACACTTCAGGATATCAATGACAATCCACCAGTATTTCCTACTGACATGCTGGATCTCACTGTCGAGGAGAACATTGGAGATGGCTCTAAGATTATGCAACTGACAGCCATGGATGCTGACGAGGTAGATCAGAATGAATCTCTGAATATTTGAAAACTAAATTGCAGTGATTTATCAAATTTCATCTATATGTTCACAACTTTTATTATAGAAACAATTAAGTTAGCATTGAGTGTACCTTTCCAAAAATATTCATCAGTAGGTTTTAAAGTGTGCTATTGGAATAAGATAGAGACTATCAAGATGTAATTTTCACTTGATCGGCATTTTAGATATTTTTAGCCGAATTATTTTTTATATTCTAAAATAATGGAAGAAGCAAATAGCACGTCTTCATTTTTATACTTTTAGAAATTTGCTATTTATAGCAGTCAAGGATAAATTTTTATTTTACTTATATCTTGTCA